AACAGTCATCAGTTCTAATTTTAATCCACTGAATTAAATGATCCCATTCATGTTAGAGGCAAATGACCTATTGTTACTGACTGTATTTTGGATATTTTTAAAAGCTTAATATGGTATATTAACAAATTTCCCACGTGTGGGACTAACAAAGGTTATCTTAGCATTTGTATTGTTTCAATTATTTCTTAAAACATACATTTTCCTTATTCCTTTTAAACTGTTAATTGCAATTGATTTTTTTATGAAGTCATCAATACCTACTGTTAATAGAGCATAGTCACACAGACCAAGAAACTGGTTGGTGACTGTAATCTATTAAATTAATATAAGCCCAGTCACACAGGCTTAGAGACCAGTCAGCGACCCCCTGGAAACCAACTTTTCCTAGGAAAATGTGCATTCCCCAACCAGTTAACAAGTGGTGGGAACCAGTTGCTTGCTGTAGTGCTGTAGCTCAGTGAAACTGGACACAAAGATGCATATGCACACCTACTTGCTAAGCAGTTGTGAAACTATAAAGAGTGTTATGCAGGAAATGAAGGCCATTTTGCCTTCAAAGTAAAAGTTGCTCCTTTATGAAACATGTTGGCTTCAGGAGGAAAAGAAAAACGTTTATTATAAAAGAAAACAGTTTGTATTTCCAGTTTAAGTTATGTTTTGTTTTGTTTTTTCAAATTTCACTACAGCTCAGTTGTTAGTTAACGCATATTCATGAGAAGTTAAGTGTCATCTATGCAATTTGTGAGAGACCGAATCACAAGGAGGATTTTAGTGTGGCGCCTTCTTTGTAGCTGATTTGATCCAATGACAGCTGGCAGCCTTCCACAATCAATAAACAACCAATTACTAGTCTTAGTTTTACTGATTGTGACTGAGGCTTTAGCTTTTCAAGCTCTTTAAATCTTATTTCTGGCAGAAAATATTAAACTCCTCAGCTATTTACAGTACTTGCATCAACTTTAATGAACATCTTGAGCAATACGGTTTTCTATTGCTGAGTTTTGCTTGTCAACAACATTAAAATTCCACAGGCACATAATTCAGTTTAAACTGTGACCTGTGGTTCAAGGATATCAGCAAGTCATACTCTTCCTTGTTGCTTTTTCCTCATTGAGTTTTTGCAGTCATATATTGTGCCAAACATTATATTTAGGCTCATTTTGTGGGCGCTGGAGTTCTGTTAATGGGCCATAGCCTTCAGTTTTTACGGTTACTTTGTAGATCATAGCTTATGCACAGGGCTGTCACTGCTGGTCAGATCTAAAAATAAAATACATTAAAAATGTTTAATGTAATTCATACCGCTGCTGACAGGTTCTAACTTAATACAAAAAAAAGATTAATGGAGACAACCCCTAACGGTAAGAACACTTCACAGGAAATAAAGATCTACACTGCAGTAGTGTGAGGGTGTTGGACTGGAGTGCTTTGGGACTTGGGTAATTTACAATAAGAACTAAAAAGTTAGCTTGACTTTTGGTCCCTGCGGTAACCAGAAGTGTAATCTTCAGTTACAGCGTACAACTATGTTATATAAATGACATAAGGCAAAATCAGTGAGTTGAGGCTTGAGAAAAGGGTGCAAGAATATTAAGCACTATAGTTATATTTTTTAGTACGTAAAGCTTAAACCTACAGATAAGTAATTTGGTGTGACACCTTTATGTGTATGTGTAATAAAGACCTAAATAGAAATGTAACCTTTCTGACAGTATTCATTCTGGCTTGTTATAACATCATACCATTGAGGCTGGTGAGGCCACACCAATGAAAGTAATAAATCACATGTGTCTGAATGAAGCTGTAGCTAGAAGTTATAGGCATCACCTCACTGCATATGTGAATTTCAGCAATGAAGCAAACTGAAGTCCACCAGGGTTCTGTTCATGGCCCTTAAATATTTTCCAAATGAATACTCACTGCCGTACTCTGAACAAGTAAGCAACTGGGTTGTCAAAGAAAAATCACCTCTCAGATACTAATGGACGACCAGTTTAGATCCTAATTTATGATAGTCTTCTCTTCCTCCAGCTAACGGACAACTTCACATAGCACCACCGTGGGCAGCGAGGCGCACAGCCCCTCCCCTCACTAGCAGCTGAAGTAGCTGAGGCTCATAACACTGAGTTACTCTTCATGAGGAATTCTAAGATGTCAGTAAAGCTCCCATTTCAACAACACTGAAGTATTAAATAGTTATCATTAAAGTTAACCTGGCTGACGGACACGTTAATTTTACTCATTTCACCATTCGCAATTGCCTGACAGTAACATTAGCTGTCTTTTATCATTAAGGTAGCTGCCAAAGGCTACAGCTCAGTAATAAAAAAATAATGTTAACATTGGAGCCTTGGCAGTTAACATTATCATTCCTGCCTGTCTGTAACATTAATAGAGAGTGTTAATTTAACAGGATACCATGATTATTTGTGCCTAAAAACAACAGAAACAGTGGCACTCTATCCTAACAACTGTATTTGATCAGCAGCAAAAATATGATGCTAAATGGGAAAGGGGAATTGAAATCTGATATTAAACAAACTCCAGGGCAAAATGATTTAAGTATCAGTAAGCTCCAATGTTATCTGTATTATTTTCAATACTGGAAAAAATTAAGAAAATAGATTTACTATTGGTACATAAAAGTTATCTTTCACATTTTTTCTGACCTCCTCTGTTACTGATTAAGCCATTAATCCAAGGCATTTCCCCTGTTCCCTATCCCGAGGACAGTTGTCTCTTTATCTCTCTCAGAGCCTGCATGTGAGGGGCGAGGAGAGCTCTGTCTCGCACATACCACACAGATCCTGGTCTTTGTGCAGATGGAGGAGAGAATGAAATGCTCAAAAGTGCGGTTGCACTTTGCTAGAGTTGATGCTGACAGTGTTGTCACAAATGCAACAGGTCTTTTGCTTGTAAAGGTGGGAACATGAGAAATCTGTCAAAACATTCAGCAAAAGTGTTCAGAGGCAGAACTGCAGAGTTTTCGACTGCCTAGCTTAGTATGGCCTAGTAGTTCATCTGCTCTTGCTCCAGGTGTGTTATGCTAGCAGCCTGTTATGCACGCACATCTAAATAATCAGTTATCTAAAATGTGAACATGGGCTAATGAACAAAGTGTTATGGATATGTGCATTCATTAGCCGGTGGTCAAAACGTCATTGCTCACAATTCTAAATCTTAAATTCCCAATTAAAGTTTTTAGATTAGAGTAACACTACAGCACAGTAAACGCTGTCAAATTTAGCTACGTTTTTCAAATTAAGGAAAGAAAATTGAACTAACGAGAAGTACCGCCTGTGTTCTGCTGGTGCTGAAACCTGACCATGAGCTGGATGTATTGCCTCATTGCTATATCCCTATATTTCACGAGCCTTTCCCATCACAGTGATTTATTTGGATGCAAATACGGGGGCTTTGGCGTACCTTTCTATTTGAGGCTGCAAGCACTTACTGTGAAAAATGAATGTCAGTTTTTCAATGATCGAAAAAGATTGGTCCTAAACCCGCTGCAATCACATTTCCCTGTACATCAGGTGATGTGGAAGGGCCTCTCCCTATGTAGCTGGGTGAAACTGTTCTTCAGGGGGCTTGCAGTGCACACAGAGCCATTACTAACACTGGCACAGTCAGCTCTGTGTCATCGTATAAATCAGACGTCTTGGCCACAGGTGGCCCATAGATCACATAGTCACACCACAGTGTCAGGCAGAAACAGCGGATGTGCGCACCACATGCCTTGCTTCCAAAGAGGAAATCAATCACTTGGACTGTCTAAGCTGCTAGTACCACCTCCACTTAGCCTCAGTACCCACTGCACGATGCCACCCACACAAGAAATTAACAGGAGCAAAGGCAATGGACCGTTTTACGTTCTCTTTGTGTGCTCAATCAGCACCCATGTTTTCTTAGCCAACAGGTCCAGAGCAGACTCATCTAGGGAGTTTCTGGGTGATTTTTATACAATGTTGATCTGTGAGCTTTAAAGGTCTGGCTTAAAAAAAAAAAAAAAAAGAAAAAGAAAAGAAAAGAAAGAAAAAAAGAAAAAGAAAGGGGGACTGGCAGAAGCAGAATGAATTCAGTAGTTTGAGCTATATGGCTGGCAGCTATGAAATCTATTTACTGCAGAGTAGAGAGACTGAGCCTGATGGGCCAAAATTAAAAGACCATGTAGTGTGAAGATTCTCCACGCACATTTGGGAAATGTATCATCAATAAATCAATGTGGACAGTCGAAACTAAAAGGTGTCTAATTATGTTTACATCCAATGCTCAGTCTGACTTACACATTGGGAAACATTATGTTGTTTTACTGCATTAATGTGCAAATGTGTTTGCTGTTTCTTGAAACATGATGGGCATTTTCTTCCCCCCGTGACCTCGTCTTCAAACACTACAGTGAGCGAGTTGTACCCAGTGGAACATGAGCCCTATTTGCACTTCAAATTAGCTGTTATTTGGCTTTAACAGTCTAAAAAGAAATTGACACAGTCTACTTGGCATTTGATTAGTCAGTGATGGTGTTTGGATTCTCTAGTCGGGAAAAGGAAGTAACTAAATAACACCAGAAAGTCCAATGCTGTCACACGCTCCTGAAGGTGGTGTCACAATCGATACATATTGATAGGTGTGTCACAATCCAGTCCTTGAACACCTCAGTACAGTACTTAAAGTCAGGACTTGGGTGTTGCCCAAGGGTTTAGGAGCATTGCTTTAAATACAGTTCACAAATTGGTTCATTGATTAAAACAACAACTAAACAAACAATCAAATCAAAACTGATAGTTTTCCCACAAACTGCATGAATTTCCTTTTCTTCTTAAGAAATAAAACCCTTTCTAATCTTCTATGTGCCAAAATAAGTACAAAAAAATTGAAGATGCTTACTACTCTGGATGGTTTCATATATTTATACTTCAACTAAAAGCTGTGATGAAAGAGGTATTGATCTTTACATCACACTGAGGTATAAGGAATGTTTCTCTGCTTATGCGTCTCACCTGTATGAGGCGTCCCTGTTCCGTTTGCAGTGTGTTAAGGTCTTGCCCGAGGCTGCTCTGCCCCCTGCGTAGAGATTCATAGTCCATTTTCAGTTGGCCTGCGTGGGCTGACAGCTTGGCCACCTCCTCAGCCAGACTGACAAGCAGAGCCCGATCCTGTCCTTTCACAGACTTCAAGTCGGAGTCGTGGTCGGTCAGTGAGTGGAGCAATGAGGTCTGCACACCCTCCAGTCGCATAAAGTTACTGTTGTAATCCGGACAGTTGGGGTCAATGAAGATGTTAATGCGAGAGCCATCGCCTCTCTCAACAGTGACCAGGGCATTGGCTTCATCCTGGTTGGTAGAAATGTGGGGTAGGCCATCAGACATGGGTGGAGCCTGATAGTGATTCATGAAAAGGATGGTGCCAGTTACAGTGACAGCCAGCAATACAGCCACGAAGAGAAGGATAGTGCAGAGCAGGTAGCTGCAGCTCATCCTCTGTAAGTCAGAAAGAAGAGAGGGAGAAAGGTAGGCAGAGAAAAGGTATGTTTTAGAAAAGTAAATGCAATTACACCAAAAATGACATAAAAAAAAGCTGAGTTATTCAAAAAGAAATGACTTTCTTCAATCACCGGGGCCATAGTTTTAAGTAATGTAACCATATTTCCGTGATAAAGTGTAGTTTTGAATTATTTATGCAGCAAAAAAAAAAAAAGATCCCATCAACTGTCGGCCTTATTAAAACTCAAAGAGACAATTTCTGTCCAAAGACCCTGCTTATCATTGGAGTGGTGATGCAGTGTGGGGGAGGATACTAGCCTCATACATGTCTGGAAACCACTCAGGGACCTGAGAGCTCCTTCTTTTCAGTTCTAACATGGAGAAGAAAACAAGAAAACATGAAGAAATTGGAGCTACTGAGAAAGAGTAAAGCAAAGACGATGTGGACGGCCAGTCGGATGCAAATAAATGAGCAGAAACCACTTAGAGAAAAAAATGGAGAAACTGTAACGGTAACATAGTCTTCAATAATTGGGCTATAAAATGTTTTTTTATGATGGCCCACTTAGGTTAAGCAATGGATAGGAGAAAGCACTATGGGCCGCCTATATGAATGATTAATAGTTCCTAGCTCCCCAATATCTTTCTAACAAAATGAATCACCAGTTGATGTCTAAGTGATTTTTGTTTTTTATTTTCTACAATCTGTATTTTTTTTGTTCTCAATGACTGTATGTGGGCTTTGGTTTATGTTAGCATGTGAAAGTGAGAGTGAGCACATTAATATGTAAATTGGCTGTACAAAGCACCGCCAAGCACACTAATAGACAGCTAATGGCCTGCTTTACGAGAGAGGTTTACAGTTCTTTTAATGTGAGGAAAATCAATTGTGTTGTGCAGGAAGTACTCCTATCAACTTTGTTTACCCACAGTCTTTGGATAGAAGACATAAAACGTTGTTACTGCCTGGATATGTGCAGGTGTACATGGGATGCCAATTTTGTAAACCTGAAGCACACAAGACACACAACCAATATGACTACTTCAACCCCACTTGGCTTATTTTCTTTTTAATTCCTGTCTCCAGTAGAATCTGTTGATTACATTTAGTGAAATTTCATGAATCATTGCTTACTAAAGCACTTTAATGTGGCTTTTGCTTTTGAGATACCATTCACATGTGTGTGATCACTGTCGCTGCAAAAACTCTCCTGTGTTAATTTTTTAAAAATGAGTTGCTGTACAGATGTAATGATAAACAATGTCGTTAAAACTACTGACAGCTAAAGTGTCAGGGGGTACCAGGCCTCCATACTTTCTAATACCCAATTTGATTTAGCATCAGAGGGATGGGATGCTTCAGAACATGCTATAAGGCATCATCCTACAGGGCATGGTTGCCCATGCCCTGACAGGTAAAAATGATGAGGATCTCAACATTAGTAGGTTAAGGGTGTTAACTGGTGTACAGGTATGGTAAAAAGAATGTACACCCTCTTTCAATAGTAAGGTTTTACACATTGGGACAAAATAAAAAAGTCCATAGCAGATTTTGAAATGGGAAAAAAGATGCTCTCAGATGAACAACATGTGACATATTTCACTATGACATTATTTATTTAACCAAAAATAAGCCAAAATGCAGGAACTGAAAAAAAAAAAACCCTTTACTGCTTTAAGAGGGTAAGAAGCAATCAGGTGCTGCTAATCAAATACACTTGATTAACTAATCATCAAAAAGTGTGAGCACTTGAGTAAAAGCAGCAGTTTTGTGGGTCTGAGGCATTCAGGTGTTTTAACACAAAGCCAAGGAAGAAAGACATTAGCAATGATCTTTAAGAAACAGTTGCTACTTCATTACGGTCTTATATCCTCCCCATTTGTTTGGGAAGGTAATGAGCCTATTTCCAAAGGACCACAAAAAACCAAAGCGCTACATCTCAGACTTTTTAAGCCTTAGTTAGCTCAATAAATTATAATGCTCATAGAAAAAAAAGGTTAAATTTGCAAAGCTGTTTACTTTGGACACACAAGATGAAAGTGGAAATTTTTGGCTTTAATGCACACCAATATGTTTGGCAAAAACCAAACACAGCATGTCAGCATAAACACATCAAGCCAGCTGTCAAGCATGGTGGTGGAGGCATGTTGATTTGGACTAGTTTTTTTAGACACAGGACCTGAGCACTTTGCAGTCCCTTAGTTAAATGGTAAATGGACTGGTTCTTATATAGCGCTTTTCTACTCTATCCGAGCACTCAAAGCGCTTTATGCAGCTAATTCATTCACCCAATCACACAAGCAATTCTAAACTTAAGTGCCTAACATTCATACACATTCACACTCCGATGGATGCATTGGAGAGCAACATGGGGTTAGTATCCCCATGGATATTTGGTATGCAGACTGGAGCAGCCTGGGATCGAACCACCGACCTTCTGGTTAGTGGCTGATCCTTCTGGTTAGTGGCTGATCCGCTCTGCGGAGCTACTTGTTGACCTTGATCTCACACATATTCTAGAGTCAAATGTGGGAGCTTCTGTGTGACAAATAAACTTGGGCAAAAGTGGGTTGTGCAACAGGACAATAATAATAATATTTCCAAGACACCAGCAAATCTACAGCGAAATGGCTGAAAAAGAACAGAACCAAGATGTCAAAGTCCAGACCTAACTTGACAGAACTCCTATCCGGTCGTTAAGTCTGACGTCACTAGCCGTGTCTGGGTCTAAACTCCGCTGCAGGTCCATATATCAAACAATCACTATGGCATTACTGAGAGTTGAAAAACTGTCTAAAGTCTTTCATCTTTAATAAAATGATCAGACTTCTGCTCTACCAGGTGTAACAATTGAGTTTAACATCCAGGCATCCATGAAAACAGAATTTATGACATTTAACGGAGTTAGAAGTTAGCAGGGAGTTAGCTCGCTAGCTTCTATCTAAATACAATATAGCATGTCCTGACTGCGGGGTTTTGGAAACAAATTAAAACGTACAGCTCTGTTATCACTTCCAACATAAATGAAGACAGAAAACTAAACAGCAGTGACGTTTGTAGGGTTACTGAAGTTTGGCTAGCTGGTATATAATGATGTGCTATGTGACCGCTAGCGACACAGCTATGTTAGCGTAATATAAACAAGCTAACTTTTTTCCACTCGATAAAAGTTAACGTGAGTGTTCTCGGTGGTCAGGAACAAATGTAATCGCATGGCAGGATGCTGTAAAAGGACCAAACTTCAGCCAGGAGAACAACTGAGATAATCCATCCACAATACGAGGTTAGTCATTCATATACTGCTGCATGGGCTGGGCTGTAGTTACATCCTAAGGTTTTAAAAACTGAGCTTAAATAAATGATTAGTGGTAATAAAAGCCGAGGGAGGTCAACAGTGATCACTGACTGTTTTAGGAGCTTTTTGAGATTAAATAGAAGAACATACAAAACATTAAACATATTAACAACACAAAAGCCATATTAAACGCAGACTACTTTAGGCCCGGAAGTAGGATTCGTCACGTCATCACTTAACGACTGGATAGCAGGGCCCTAAGAGAGCTGTGCATAAATGAATCCCAACAAACCTCAATAAAGTCAGACAACATTGTAATGAATGGGCTCAAATTCCTCCACAATGATGTGACAGACTAAAGCCATCTAGTTACTGTTGCTAAAAGTTCTGAATCTTCTGGTGTACTAATTTTTCAAATGTACTTTTTTTTTTAGTTAAATAAGTAACGATACAGTATAATGTGTCTTCTGTTGTTATCTAATTTAAGAGCTGGTGATGACCAGATCATTTTTTTATTATGCCCTAATATGTAATATTTTGCAACATACTGCATACTGTACAACTAGACACTAGATACACTACACACATTTATGCCACTTAATGTTCACTGCATATATGCACATGGACACATAGTTGCATGGAGACCTACATAATTTGACCATAATGCTTTTTTGGGAAAAAGAACATAAAAAAAAAACTGGCGCATTGCTTTATTTTTTCACCCATATACATCATCGTAGAAATGAGCTCCAGGGGAATAATGCTGCACATAGCATTTTTTTTTTCGTTTGCTTGCTCTAATTCAACATGTAGGCCTTATGACTATACTTAGAATTTACCGTAAAATCTTTCCTTACATATCAAAACTGTGTTTCTCTTTTTCCCAGTTTGTATGAGGTGCGGCTCAGGGATTTTAACTCACTGGGCTTGGCTGTGTCTATGGATGTGTGTGCAGAGGGGTGTCTGTGTCGTACATAATGTGTATAATGGCCTTGCTCTGCAGAATGACAGCAACGTAACATTAGAACGGTTTGCCTGAGTACTATCGCTAGCGGGCCAAGACATCAGTGAAAGCTATCACTGGCACTACACTAAATATTCATTGCTAGCACACTGATTATTAACGTAGAATGGAAAAGATATATGATAGTCATAGTTATGCTGACAGGCAGACCTCTATACATTAAAACATATTCAGAACACAGAGGAGTAGATGTGTTTCATGCATGTTGAACCGTAACTAGACAATGATCAAATCTGTAATAATAATTTAGTCTTGAAAAATTAAGGCTAATATAATATAATATAATATAATATAATATAATGCCAATTATAATTGGCATATAATATATAAATGTGGAGAGACTCCCAACTCGACCTAACTAGTTGCCAACTGGTTTCTATAAAAGAACGTGCCTATGTTACGTTGCCATGAAATTGCTGTTGTACAATAATCCTATTTTTTTAGGAATCTCTACTTTTGTGTTTACCAGTTCATTTATGGTAAATGAGCTGGTTCTTACATAGTGCTTTTCTACTCTGAGCACTCAGAGCACTTCATATAACATGTGTCATTCACACACATTTATATAAGAACTTTTTTCTACATCTAAGTGCTTGCTATCTAACATTCAACTCTGTGTCTTATTAAGTGTTATTAATCTAATTCAGTCTTATTGAGTCTGTCTTATAGCTGCTCTATTGCTGGTTTGATGAACCAAAGTTGCTTTGATCACTCATCTCATACCTGCCGTTCGTCTTCAAAGAAACATTTTCAAAGGGCAACAAAACCACAAATTCATTGCACATGGTTGCAGTAACTTTGGTGTTGCTGCAATCTCAAACCACCATTTTCCCTAACGTGACTGCAGAATCTGTTTTTCATGTTTATGAATACAACAATGAATCAACAAAAGTGCAGTTCAGTGTTAAAGTTCTGTGTTTTGCTAATCTGTCAATCCAGATTTCACCCTCCTGCCCACAGACACTGCATTGTTGGGAAGCATTTGCTGAAATACTGCTGAAAACCTCTCAGTTCACTGATAGAGACACAGTCCTTGTAGAAGTGTGTTACTCAGCACCATCTTGAAATGCCCATAGACACTTATTTGAAAAAATTTTTTGAACCATTACCAAAAATCAACAGGACATCAAAATTGCATGTTGTGAAGACAGGACACAACTCACTCAGTGCGTCACAGTCAACAGTGCTTTATTATAGTTCTTTTTGGATACACTGGCAGTTACCCACTGCTCCACCCCATCCCTGCACAAACTACACTTCACCACACACGTATTCAATCAAATCAAATTTAAAAAAAATGATTAAAAGGTTTGCTGACTTTTTTTTGTTAAGGCCTTTTTTCTCCTGGGAAGTTCTACTGCTTTGGATGTCAATTTTTCCTACAACTTACAATGTCAATAAAAGACGAGGTCACTTAACAATAACATAATTATGTGTCATTATAGGATGTTTGCTCAAACAAGTACAGGATGAGGATTTATTTATTTTTCAACAGAAGAATAATCACAGGAAATGCACTCATTCTTCTGTTTACAGGTAATATTTTGGTCTGTAGAAACGCACTGGCTCAACAACAAGGTGGTTATTCGGTTAAGTTGATCTTATAATTTTATGATTTTATTTTTTTATTGTGCTGTGGCAAACAATGTTCCCAGTAATAAACATGGCATAGGGATAAGACAACAGAAAAGAAATAGAAAACAGAGCAAATGTAAAAAGAAATTAACTAACCAGGCATCTTTTCCACTTTAGAAACAAAGGTGGCTAATTTAACCTTTTTTTATGCATTATTAACCAACCAAAATGTTTCTGGAGCCAGAGATTTTCGTTTGCATTGTGTTTTGATGGTCAGTAAAAATGAAATAAAACAGCAACCTGCTTCATGCCCCATTGGAGTACGCAGTCTCCCACCTCAGGTTGAGATTTGTAGTGGCATAATGACAGTGAGAACAGGATGCAAGCAGCCTCTTAACAGTTAGGTTTTTTTTGTAAATGAGACTCTCGATCTCACAGCAGGAGACCACTCTGTAATTAGTGGCTGACTTTCACGTCCTCTCCTTTCTGTACTCAAGCCACACCATGGGATTTGAGAGGAGAACTGGGGAATTCTGATAGATAGATAGATCGGAAAGAAGAGGCAGAGAATTAGAGAGAATTCCTCTCTGTGGAAATGATGTCCTCCCACGCAGGAGAACTGGCAGACAGTTCTTGGACAAAAGGTTTTGCCTGCTCATTAGATAAGCAGGAAACTAGCAAAACTCTTCCAAGCATCCTCACTCTCTCGTCCTCTCTCCCTCTTCTCAAAACACAAACACGCACATGCTGACACAAATCGATGTATACACAGAAGACATTCATGTTGGAGCTGCCAAACTAATACACGCAGAAAGGTACAAAAATATTTTGAAGCTAAACTGGCATGCACGGACTGGTTTTAAAAGAAGTCATGTTCACCATTTCCACCCTTCTTTCATTCACTGGCGGTTTGAATCTGACTCATAACAGCATTCAGTGCAGTTTCTTCATTATAATCTGCCATACAATCAGGCTCCATTTCCCAGTGTAGCCATGACCTCCCCTCTCAGTTCAGAGTGTCTGCAGGGTCTTATCCATCTTCCTCTTGTGCGTCTGGGTATTTGAGCTGAGGTTGTGCAATTGCTGCTTCTCAGTGGCAAAATATAATGTGTTACACACAACGATTCATTTCTAAAGGGATAGTGGCTGGTGATTAAAAAAATAATTGTCGGTGAAACATAATCTCCTCCACAGGTGAGCAAGTAACTATTCAATGTCTGCCCCTGATTTGACTAAAAAGGAGGATGGTGGATAGTAGTGTATACAGCAGTGCACGTAGTATAGAGGAAGAAATAAGGGGATTTAATTTGTGTCATTATAATATTATACATTATATCAGTTTGGATTCTTTTTATTTAGCCATTTCTATCCACTTCAGTGTTTGCTAGTCCCCATATCAACTTACATATTATTCTGCAGAAATCTAATTCAAACTCTAGCCAAAATAATTTGTTTGATTTGTGTAAATTCAACCAGTTAAAAAGACAAATTGCTCAAGTATACATGTGCGTACATGTTGTGATAACGGGGCCTTACCTTAGCTGGGGTCTCCCTGGCTGTTTCTGAATCTGACCAGCGATGTTTGAGTTGAGAGGAGCTGGGCACACATTCACAGAACGTCTGCATGGGACAAACAGATAGGGCCACCAGTGTTGGCGTTTGTTCAAGTCACATGTGCAATCAAGCATGCGTGCACATGCAAACAAACACACACATACATGCATAGACGCACAGGCTTTGGATATATACTCCTGAAAACAAGTAAAGGAATACTTTTTAATCAGGGTTTAGCATCAAGTCAATTAAACTTGTAGGATATTGATCTGGCAGCAGAGGTTTGGTGTTAATGGAATTAAAAACAGGTGCACTAGAGGGGTAACAATGAGCACCCACAATAGGAATGGTTTTACAGGTGGAGGCCACTGACTTTTTCCCTCCTCATCCCTTCTGACTGTTTGGCTAGGGCCAGTGTCACTACTGGTACTGTGAGCTGAAATCTGAACCGTACAGAGGGTGCAAAGGTCCTAGCACATTGGACCTTGAGGGGATTGAGGGGATTTCAAGAGACAGGCAGTTATTCTAAGAGAGCCGGACAGAGCCATAGAAGGTCCTTAACCCATCAGCATGACCAGCATCTACTCCTTTTTGCAAGGAGGAACAGGATGATCACTGTCAGAACTACAAAATGACCTCCAACAGACCACTGGTATTAATGTGTCTGAGAAAACAATCAGAAACAGACTTTATGAGGAACCTACATCCTCTAAAGGGCTTCATGGTCACTGCAGAGCACAATGAAACCAGATTGGCATTTGCCATAGAATACCACAATTGGTGCAAAAACTTGCACCCTGTGCTTCCCATAGATCACAGCAGGTTCACCCTCAGCACACCTGAAAAGGGTCTGGATAACCATGGTGAATGTTATACTGCCTGTAACGTCATTCAGCATGACTGGGTTGGTAGTAGGTCACTGATCATCAGGGGAGGAATAACCATGGAAGGACGCACAGACCTCTACAGCCAATGGGCAACGGCACCCTGACTGGCATTAGGTATCGAGATGAAATCTTTGGACCCACTGTCAGACCTCATCCTGGTGCAGTGGGTCCTGGATTCCACCTGGTGTCCAACAATGCTCAGCCTCACGTGGTAGGAGTGTGCAGGCTGTTCCTGGAGATTGAAGGAATTGATACCAATGACTGTACCCCCACACTCGCCAGACCTAAATCTAATCGAACACCTCTGGAACTTTATGTTTTAGGCCGTCCAACGCTGCCAGGTTGCACCTCAGACTGTTCAGGTCTCCCTAAATGGAGTCTGCTGCATCATTTTTCCACTTTGATTTTCGGGATGTCCGAATTCAGCCTTCTGTACAGTAGATTCATCATTTTCATTTCCATCAAGTGATGTGGCATCCTGTCATTCCACATTACCCAATCCAATGTCAGTATAAATATTCAGCATGACTTTTCAAACGTTTCCTTTACATCTCAAACGTATCATTAAATTCAGTTTTTATGACAGGTTCAATTTCCAGAAATCATGGACAGAGTTTCTTCTAAAATAGAAAATATCAAAAAGTAACTTTTAATTAACTGCATGCGGGGAAAACACTGTGTGCAAGCAGCACTTATTCATACAGGTAAATGTGTGCAGTGTGAAATTTGAACATGCTTCAGGATACAGTATGTGCCTAGTGCTGCTTATATGTGTGTTTGTCTAGCGGTTCTAGCTGCTACACAGATAAAAGCAGAGTAATTACAGAAGTGTGAGCTTTCTAACTGCTTCCAGAGACCACGTTATTCCATGACCTTAAACACTACTCCTCCCCCACTGGAATTGCTCAATTAGCTAGGGACAATAACCCCAACACAAAAGCACACATCCCCAATCCCAGCTGAGTACTTAAGAATGGATGCAGCAAACATTAGCAATTAATATATCAAAATGAGTTTTCTATCCAAGCCTGGTGTCACAAGATTTTCATTGGTGAATTTATATGACTAAGACTATATGTCTTTACACCTGTTATGAGCAGTATTGTAAGATTACTTTAGAGCTGTACTAATTTTCAGTAACCAGGGGGTGAAGTAAGTTGGGTTTGGTTAAGTTTTGCTTTGGTTTGGCAAAGAACCACTGACTCTTATATTCAGCAGACATGGCATGTCCACCCTCCCACACTCATTTTTTACCTCTGGTTTGGCCTTAGAACTATTTGTGTGCTAATTGTTAAGCTAACTTGATTTGTCTGACTGTTGTGATGCTCATAACTCATATGGTGGTTTTGCAGACACATGACTTCTAACGACATACCATTAACTTGCTCTGTTTTTGAACATGTGGCCAAGTGATTAAGGCCCCAGTCACACAAACCTAGAGACCCATCTACAACCAACTAAAAACCACTGGTCATCAGGGAAAAATATGTATTCCCCTACCAGCTGGTGAGTGGTTGCTGGAGGTTGATGGCAGTTGCTGGGAAATCGACTGCTAAAAGCCCCAGTCACCTACATCTGCTGACAAGTCAATGACTCCCTGACACTAAAGAAAGATGTGGCAAAAGCCTCTTTGGAATTGCTTTGGTTGGTTGGAGATTGGCACAGTCATCCAAAGTCCACAAAAAAACCCCAAAACAAACGTGGAAAAACACTGAGCAGCTACTTTTAAGGTTGTAGTGAAACTGTGAAAAGTGCGACACAAAATAGACACAGAGAACTTTTCCCATCAAAATAAAAGTCCACTTTTTCAAGTAGCTTAGCTAGCAGTTTGCAAGTGATTGCAGATAAGTTTGCAACCAATTTCACCTAGTGTCAGTCAACAACAATATGGAAAAGAAATAGTAAAAACTTATAAAAGACTTGCATAAGATGTGGCCTACTCCATATAGTGAATCATATAAGGTTTTACTCGTGAAAGTGGCCACTTTCTCATTACTTTCATATATTGTTTTAGTAAGTATCCAAAACATACAAGTTTCATTTATATAATTTTTCAAGGGATCTTATATCTGTTTTCACTCTTGTATGTTTTTCATACAAGTTTCACACAAGACAGATACAAACCTTATAAGATTTATATATATCTTTTCCATATGGGCAACCTCGGGCAACTACTTGTCAACCAATGACAGAATACACATTTTACACTTGCAGCTGGTGGCAGCAAGACGCTCAATATGGCTAACTCTGGAGCAATGGGCTTATGACCTCAAATGAGAAATCTCTAAACATTAAGCTTTCTAAATGTGGAAATGGCTGCTTATGGGGGGCAAGTCTGGCAGCTATACAAAGCCACACAGTTACTGTGTGGGCCTTCTGAAAAAGCCACACTTAAAAGAGTCTTGAAATCCACTTAAAGTTGGGAGACTGCTGATAATTCTCTCAGATTAATGCAGGTATGATGGATGCCTTTAGCTTTTTAATGTTAATATTTCAAATATAGTAGCTGTGAAAGTGCATGTTGTAAACATGCAAACAGCAGTTACATGTATGCAGTTGTGCAGCGTTGCTTGCCTTTGTGTATGTTTTGTCAGCTGCGACTTGCCGCGTATGCTACTCACACAGTCATTGTTATCTCGGCTAACCAATAGCTCACCTTTTTGCTCTAAGCATTCATTTCCAGTGTGTAAGACAGCAAGAAAGAAATAAAGGAAGGTAGTGAGAGAGAGAAGAAAGTTAAGGGTGGGTGGATGGGGGAAGCGGGAGATTTGAGAGAGGTGTGCAGAATTCTAATGAGCAGCCTTAGGGTCAGTGATAGAAATCTATGTCTGTTCTGCCTAAAACATTGCAGCTGTCTGTGCAGTACACAGAGAGCTACAGAGCTGCGTTATTAAATAAACACAGACTCCACAGTGATATGACCAACGCACTAACAAATCAGCTACATAGTAGAGTGAAAGCTACTGAATTTGTGTGTCTTACAAATTCATTTTAGTAATAAAAAGCAGGCAAATGTGTTGTGAGTATACAAAATGCGTAAATGCTTGTGTGCACCAACACACATGGGCACAACGTGTACTCCCGTTTTGTTGCAAAAGGGAAAAAAAATTATAAAAACATCACATGTGAACACATACACACAGAACAAAAGCTTATGTGTTGCAGCTGCAACCCACTTAGATTCCTGAGACTCTGCCTTTCCATTATACTGAGCAGCATGGATCAGAGCTTTAGTTTGTTCATTCCCCTGCCTGCTAATGCTCACATTGGGGTTTCATGCTGCCCGTGCACACAAACATATACGCATGTGCCCCACAGTGACACACCAATATCTGTGGAGCTTCTTGTTGGCAGTGGTCCCAGCTTGGGCATGACTGCTTGGCAGTGTTTGTCTAGTCCTAAACTGACTCCACAAGCTCCACCAGCGGAGAGGATTTACACTTAATGGAATATTTGGGCTTTTTATTGGTTGGACCTTACAAGCAGAATCCTATCTGATGAGGCACGTCTCGATAAGACAGAGAGGGCTCAGACTTATCCCGGGCGTGCCTGAATGTGTACGTGTGTGCTTTTTCAATAAGCGTACCTATGTATTTGCATGAGTGCATGGATAGTGTGTGAATATAAATATTTTAGGCCAGTATCCCCAGTCTATCTAAGAATATTTGGATTGTGTGAACGTGTTGTTCTTGGGATAATTAGTTCGCTTTGCAGAATACCTTTGCATGAGACTGTGTGACAGGGACTTTAGCAAGGTGTGTTTTAGCCTAGTGCTCACTAAGCTGATGGAGTAAAAGAGGCTTTGCATATATTCACTTGTGGGCTTACAAATCATTTAATGGGACTTGCAGATTGGTAAATGAGGGGACAGAATGATGAAAAAAGCAGGAAAAGGGGGTATATAAAGCAGGATGAAAAGCAGAAGGATATTGTGTAGGGGTGAAAGCCCTTACATAGTTCAGCAGTGTTTCATATAAGAGATTATCTACTTAAGTGTGCATTCTCTGTAGACACTGCTATACCAAACAACACTCAAAACCAAACGGAAACTTTATTAGTGAGAAAATAATGACTAAGTGTATAAATTTGTGCCATTCCTCCAAAATAAATTGTGATGTTCTCTAGCTTGTAATCAGATCTTAAGAAGATAAACTATAATACACATTGAAATCTATAATG